TTGCATTTGTCTGGAACATATTGACCAGCTTACTTAGAGAACATTTGGGTTGTGTTTGGATTATTGATGAAATGAAAAAGAGGGGCAGCAGAACAATGCCCCATATCTATCTGCTTTGTGCTCAGCTCTAAAAAATGGGCCTCAAGGAATATAGAAAGCAATAGATTTTATGCCACAAGTTCCATTATTCGGTGGATGATAGATTGACTAGGAGGTAGATATTCCATTCTCCACCAAATTGTGGAATTCATGCTCTTTTCCACTTCTGCCCCACAATCCAGAGTCACGGTCATAGTTTTGGGTATTATTTTCATAAATACCTTACATACAGTTACACCCAAAATTAAGTTCAAAAAATAAATTTTTTATTCAAAGAACACAGTTATTTCCTTGTTTTATTTCTGAAAAAGGAATCTTTGTCTATGCATTATGCCTGATTTAAGTCCTGGGTTTTGGTCTTCTTGTTTTTGAGGACATTGTATGATGCTTCTACTTCTTACCTCATTCTAATAAAATTGATTCTGTTTCCAACAAAAGAAATTCCTTTTTCAGAAATAAAACAAGGAAATAACTGTGTTCTTTGAAGTATAAAAAATTTCTTTTTTGAACTTAATTTTGGGTGTAACTGTATGTAAGGTATTTATGAAAATAATACCCAAAACTATGACCGTGACTCTGGATTGTGGGGCAGAAGTGGAAAAGAGCATGAATTCCACAATTTGGTGGAGAATGGAATATCTACCTCCTAGTCAATCTATCATCCATCGAATAATGGAACTTGTGGCATAAAATATATAGTAGAGAGAGAGAGAGAGGGGGGACCACTATACATCCTTTTTGACAAATCCACCTTAAAAACAGTCTGCAAGAGTATTTATCAAAAAAAAAAAAAAAAACAGTCTGCAAGAGCCCAGAATGTGCCAGATCATTCAGCTTGTCTCAAAGCCGCCAATATCTCCTTCCTAAACCTTTCCCTATCAGATGGCATTTGAAAAATCACCTTTCAAAGGAATGGTTGAAGGCCCAGGCAAGCAAGCACCCCTCAGACCTACAAGGAGAGCTTTAGCTTCAGCTTCACTGATGGAACCACCATATGCCCATACCACCTGCTCTTCCTAGTACATTATGCATCCACCAATCCATGGAATCCATTTGAACAAGATGCTCACTGCAGAAACCACAGATCTAACTTCATGGATATGGTGGTGCAGAAACCATGGTTCCAATTACCAGCTATGATTCTGTTAGTACTCCTGCACCTCAGCTGAATGAAGCATCTAGAGAATGCAAAATCCTTTTTCTGTGGAACACCAAATTTTCGGCTCTCTCCACTTCTCCCCCTCTTCAAAAATATGTATGTATGTATTAAAAGGAGGGAGAGGATCCCTCAAAAAGAGCTATACAAAAAGGTCTAATGCCACCTGGCGAGCATAACTACAAATCAAGAGCTAACTGTGTTATCAGAGCTTAAGTCCAGTGGCCAACAGATCCTGAATAAGCAAGGATAATCTTTTTATAACAGATAACCTAAGATAAGCTCTCCTGAATTTTTGAATGCACCACAAACTTGGTGCCTTCCTGGATTCCAAAATGAGCAGCCATCAAAATTTAATTTGATCACATGTCTAAGATGTAGAACCCACTGCTGTTGTATTTCAATTATGATATACTAGTATATATATTTCCATACTTCCAAAACATAAGCAAAGATAATCCATACACCAATTAGCATTTCCATTCTTCCAGAAAATATACTTTTTTTTTGCTGATGAAAGTATACACTTCAATTATGATGTAAAGTTTAGTTGATATACTAATATAATGGGCCTCCAACAGCATGAGGTTTAACAACTAAGGCTCAAGTCCTAAGTTTGATGCCTGCTTAAAAATCAAATGAATGTCGAATTAATTAAAAGTATAAAAATTAATTTTAAATACACTGATAGTCTGATCCAATCACTTTGAAACAAAAGCATGGCTAAGCAATGACGGGACACTGACTCCTAATGGTTGGATCCACTGATATTAAGCAAATTTACAAAGATCCTTGAGGGTCAAAATGTAAAGGAGATAAAAGGAAAACCAGTCATAGACTTGAAAAGCTTCCAGGAAATCTCAGAAAGGAGCTGCTTCTGATCCATATCACCAGGTCAGTTCACAAATTCCGGTGCAAATTCCAAATGTGGCCTCAATCTAAATCAGGAACTGCCAAAAAAAAACAGAGGAAATAAACATATCTGAAAGGAGAGAGGATTGGTTTTTGGAGTGAGGAAATCCCCAACCAGAACATGGAAGAATCAAGCAGATTCACAGTTTAGAATTGCTGGCCTTCATTTTAATACATATCTCAAGATTAAACTAAACCATTTTGCAACAAGGTTCATGGATCACCTATTGAAGGTGGGCCTTGGTGCATTGGTTGAGTTGCTCCTTGTGACCAGGATGACCAGGGTTCAAATCTTGAAAACAATCCCTCTGTGTATCTGCAGGGGTAAGGCAGAGTACAATGTCCCTCCCCAGACGCCAGACCCCACATTGGCGGGAGCCTCATGTACTGGGTTGCCCTTTTGTTCATGGATCAGCTATTTCATCCAATTCTCCGGCATAGGCCTTAGGCCTGTCAGTGATGCCCGAAACTCCACGGCCCAATCCAACATTCAATATGATTATCCCAGATTCAGATGATGTGTTTGCATATTTGGATCAGATTCAGATTTTGCAAATTGCATCCAATTAATAATCGGAATGGATTCGGATTTGACTCTATCCAATCCGATTAAAAGCTGGATCCAATTATGTTACAATATTTATTGATTTTAATATATAAAATTTATATAATTATATTTCAAATTATAAAAAATAAATTTTTATATATTATATTATATATGATTTATATATAATACATTCAGTATGTTATATTTACATTAATTTATTATATATAAAAGTTTAAAAGTAATTAACTTTTAATTTTTTGTATTTGAAAAAATTAAAGCAAAGTCAGATTAAATCCGAATCTGATCCAAGTCCGTTAGGATTCAAATTCGAATCCAAGGTCTTCAAATCTGACTGGATTCGGATGTAAGTTTTCAATAATTGGATCTGATTCAGATTTTGCTGAATCCGATCTGTTTACAGCCCTAATAGGCCTTGTATTATAATGAGAGAAATTTCAAGGACAAAATTTTATGGACTTTTTTTTTGCCAAGTTGAGGGCTTTTATATATTCTGTAAAAGGAACGCAGTTCAGAGATGAGAGAATTAGTAATGTACAAGTTGCATTTTTAATATTGAGTTTTGCAACTGTTTATTTACTTCATTTCACATTAATATTTTCCTTTTTCTGATAAAAGAAATGAACCAACCTCCCAAATATTAGAATAATTCAATATGTTATTGTTCCTTTGTGCCCCACATCATCTTACTTGGAGATTTAAAAAATGGATAAACCAAATTGTCCATGGTAGAGCAGTTTAAAAGATAAAGAACAAATCAAGATGTTGATTTAAGGGTGAATAGGCAAGTGAAGTTTCCAAGGGCCTATCATGGAGCACTAGAAAAACATTTGAGTTGCTTTAATGGGAAGATTGGGCCATAACTGGGTCTCAAACACATATCAACAGAATTCAACCAACTATAAAGGTATAAAACTCATTACCAGATGGTAATGGCAGAAATAGTTACTTTTATATCAACCATGGAAGGAAATAATATTGAAATCCATGATGACACAATACAAATCTGATCAAGGCATTGGTTAGATACCACACTACAGCCTCTGCACATCAAACTGATCATAACAATTTTAACAGCAAAATTTTTACAAGCTAGTTGGGACAAATTGATCTAAGATATACCTGGAATGAATTAACAATCAAAGAAAAAAATTAATTGCTTGGATGGCTGCACAAGAGAAACTTACTGCTCAGAATTTTTTTTCCTGATGAAAATATAGATAGCTGAATTCCTCTAAGCCATTCATGTGCAACTGCCCTGAAGAGCTCATCCATTCTTTAATTTCAGAGCTTCAGTTTATCTAAGTTCATTCAATAGCACATTGAGCTCTGGCTCCTAGAGCTAGGATGGTTTTTTTATCATTGGGTATAACTGAATTTTTCAGTAATCCTTTGTGAGGTTCCATTATGAATAGGAATATGTTTTTGGGATATCAAAGTTCCAAACAAAGTGGAAGCATCTTGATATGGAGATGTTGATTGCTAACTGAATATCAATCTCCTAGAACATAGGCACCTTTTTTGGGTGGTTATCTTTTTTCTTTTGTACTGTTGTTTTAAGCATCAATTAGACCCTCTACACCTATGGATCAAGTTGTATTACAGAGGCCTCTGCATTATTAGTAATCAAAAGACCATTTGATCACAAATCTTTAAAGGATACTACAAGCTACCCAATAGGAATTGTACTTCATGGTGCTCCCTGCAGCTCGTCTATCTCAGGGATTACCAATAGCATGTTCCACTGGGGCCTAATAGATCCGTCCATACTGCAATTCAGCAAGCAACGCCTGGGTGATATCTTTGGCAGTCTGACTTATAGGAGCTCAGGCAGAAAGATAATGCGGCACATGGCAACTTTATACCACTAGGCTTTCTACCAAGGGTAATGACGAATTTTGTGAATAAACGGTTCCCTTACTATGATGACTTAGTTCACATTCTAACAAGCTACTCTAAATATCCTTCTGCTACTTCACCCTTAGACAAATCGGCCAAATCAAATTCAAAAAAAAAAAAAATAGATAACTGACATGGCCCTTCACTAAAAAAACTACACATTAAAGAGAAAAGATTAAGACATATACAAGAGCCACCTTCCACTGACATACTTAATGGAGTTTAGCCTTAAGAAAAAATGAAACACCAATCTCTTGAGCCCCTCTACTGATACTTGGTAATTGGTTGTTTGTTCTAATTATAGAATCTAACTTTTACATGTAAAACAGAATATTCAGCTGAAAATGGATGATCAGCTGTTTATCATACCTTCAACCTGTGATTCACAGCAGGATGAATATCGATCTGACAGTCTTCGCTGGCCTCTCCTGACTCCTTCTCATTCTCCCTCTTTACATACTTCTCGTGATCCGATAGTGCAACATTGAAATCAAATGCTTCATTCCTCTCTGCAAATCCCAACCCAATGAAGGCATGCTTGCCCCTCCCATCCTCTATCTTCAGCACGAAGTAGCGTGACGAGTCGAGAACAGTTTCAACGGAATTCTCCCTCTGCCCGGGGAGGACAAAGCAAGCGGCGAAGAGCTCACCGGAGTTGGAATCCTCCAGCCGGATCTCACAACGTTCTTTACACGAAACAACACGAAGACGCCCCGACCAGATCTTATCAGATTGGAGCCACTCTCCACATTTGTAACCACCACTCGTGCTCCGAGGGGGGATTTTGTAGACGGACACTTCGCGAACAACTAAAAGAGTGTGCTCGAACGATTCCTCTTCCTCGAACGACATGGTTCCTAAGTAATTTAAGTGCAATGTGCAGCGAATTTGAACAGATATTCACGAAATAACGTCTCTTTCAAAAAAACATTTAGAGAATTGGGTATTGACGAAAATGAAGAAACAAGAAGATGGTTTAGATCAGACGGAGCTGCAGAGCAATTACTGATGATTCAGGGATACACAAAAGCCACCCTTGTGGAATTAGAAGAAAACTGGAAGAGATAAAAAGAGAGATTTTTAGGGTTTTCAATGGGAAATTGGGAAAGGGAGATCAGGTGGTTGAAGACTGAAGGGATTGGAAAATGTAAACTGCGGATTCTAATTGAATTTTACAGTGGCTTTCACATTATCTTGATGTAGAATTAGAATGTTTCGGTGGAAAGCTATTATTATTTATTGTTTTCATTGAGTTGCAGAGACGTAGGAATGAAGCGTGTTTTTGGAAGGTCAAATTTTTGGTTTTCGCTTTTGGCATTTGGGAGAGAGAGGGAAGCGGCAGAAGCTTGTTTACCATATTACCCTTCATCGCTACTGTAATTTTCATTTTCAAGTCCAGGTTTCCCTTTGTTTTTTCAGTTGCGAATTGCGACTAGGGATGATGCCAGCGGACCGGATTTTGAACGGATTGTCTCGACCCGATAAATTCCTATCCGGATAGATAAAGGAAAATGCCCCGACCCATATATGGTACGCCGTACGCCTATGCTCAGCTAAGACTGCAATAAATATTTTAATACTGCCATATCAATAGATTAGATAGTCGTCGGCTTTAACACAGCTACCTCAAACTGAAATTCGACCCAGGAGCCGGTTATGGATGACCCGACTGTAACCTCATATCATCGAGCCAGTGCGGGTTATTTCACAGAAGAATCTCTGGCTGTCCACATTTGACAGCACAGCAGTTCAGAGTTCAGATCCGGTTTCCAACGACCATTGCAACTGTACATCGATAATAGGCAGGGATCAACTATCAACAAAACGCTCCCAACAGGCCACTGCAGCCACACATGGGAACATCTCTCTTGTCATTCATAGAAGATGTTTCCGGTGTACATCTGCAATGGCTTGTTAGGACGTTATTGGCACTGTATGTTGATAGCTGGAGAACGTCTCACCATGGACAAAGGAGATATTTGAAGATCAGATGTGCTCTCACTGAAAAACACTTCCAACACCTTCTAGTGTCATATAATACTATACATCTCACTATAAGATTGGAATCCATTATAAAGACTTGTGATAAGTAGATTGGACTCCATCTCAGAATTCTGAAATCAACTGCAGACCTACAACAATTCAAAATTTTAAACAACTCTGCCTATAACACCAATGCCCAGTTGTGTATTGGCATTAATTCCGAGCTGACACTTATCCAACTGTACGGTGAAACTAAGATTTGTTGGGGTGGACTGTATAGTAAAAATAAAAACCCCTAAAGACTTTGACCCACCATGTTTGGAGTTTGGATTCCCTCACTAAATTGGTCTTTACACCCATCTCACATCACTTGTAGCAGTGCATCCCATGAATAAAAACATTCAAGTACCAAAATATTCCCAATGTGCTGCAAGGGCTATGAATGGTGGGTGTGATGACCAATTTTGCAAGGAAATCTAATTTTCTATTGGGAACATATGAAGTCCAGATCTGCTACCAATACTGTCCCAACAAATTATCACAGTGAGATGTTCTCATTATGTGGCTGCAGTGTTCTATTGGAACAGTGTTAGGAGTGTTTTATTAATAATAGATTTCCACTCATCTAAGATGTGGTGTTAGATGAATTAGGAACTTCTTCCAACCAAACACGCTCCTACCCTTACCAACTTGATCTAATAGATTGGGACCCACCATGTATGAAATGTGCAGTGTGAGATCATGTTAGTAGATTGTTAAAATATATTTTATTGGCAGGTGTTCCAGACTTGTGTTAGATTATATTGGAAGGTGTTGGAATCATTCTTTTGTTGGGAACCATCCCAAGTCCCAACTAGTTTTCATTGTACAACTACAATGGCCGTTGGAATCCTACATTGGAATCAAATCTGAATTCTAGCTCATAAGTCATGAGTCTTGAACATTGACGTGGTGGTGACTCATCATAGCTCATAACATAAGCCATAGCTCAGAGTTTACATGATGGGATATGTTTATAACAAAAAACCGTCCCAACTCATTTCCAACATGATCTGTATCCATATATCTCACCACGACACTAAAGACGTGTGATGTCTGTAATGTGTGGAAATGGATCACATTGAAATGTGTTTGAAACAACTTTTTTTTTTTTTGTTATTAAAAAATCTGGACTCATTAATTAACGTGTTGTCTGACCAAGCTGAGACAGTGGGAAGTGAAAACAAGAGAGTCCTGTGAACAGCATGGGCTATGGAATGTAAACAGCCAAATATTTTCGGTCGGCACATGGTGCGGTTTGCACCGGAAGCTACGTTGGCGGCCCCACGATAAAGGACATTGACCATTGGCTCTCCAAACTTTTTCTTGAATCCTTAGACATTAGCCGTCCAAAGGGAATATAGTAACAATATTGAATATCAAGCCAAGATTTATCCAAATCTAATATATACATATTAAAGGATTTCATGATTTAGACGTGTTTTTTTTTTTAATTTAAACACAGCATTTTTTGAGAAATTGTTTTAAAGTCCACAGTCTACTATTATCATTCAGACAAGTGGTTTTTCATTTTCTAAAAAAATAGATATATCACATGTGGCATTTTCTCAGAAGTTGTAGTTAAAATCCACAACCCACTATCACTATTTTCAATTTATTCCTAAAAAATGAAGAAAATGCAAAAGTGATTATCCATAATCACTTCTGCCTACATTTTATCAATCTCAGTTAATCATTAACCCTCTACTTATCATAACAAAAGAAAACTATCCATATTCTAATAATGATTGAAAACCTATTTATTGAAATAAATATTTCTTAAAATTTTAATAATTATTTAAAGTATTAATAAATATAAATTTAACATTATTGATTCCATAATGTAAATTTAACATTACTGATTCCCCGTACTTAGTACGGGGTCATTCACTAGTTGTAATGATTCTTAGAGACTTGTTGGACTTGGACACTTTAGGCGAGGACTTTGGAGAGATAACAAACTAGTTGCCATTTTTTTACTTGAACTAGTAGAAGAGCCTGTGTATATAGAGTTTATGAGCATTATGTATTATTTATATATACACGTTAATTTATGTATCTCATTTTCAATGAAGAGTATGTAGTAAACCTAAACAGAGTGGTGAGATGGCAATCAAAGTTCAAACTCCTAATTCAGTCTAGTCACATAATTTTATTTTTTAAGCCTTGTAATAGAACCACTGGCTTCTAACTCTAGATGAACTATTTACTCAAATAAGTCCAGAGAAGCTATGAAGAGTATTTTCCCATTATCCCTAATAATTTCAAAAATCCTGGAAGTTTTAAGATTAAGGGTTTTTTTTCAAAATAAATGACCAAGTTTGATCAATAGACAAATTGAGTTTTTATTAGGGGTGCAAGTCGGGTTTACTTGAGTTAACAGTTTACAATATTTCGAGTTTGGATTGCGTCCATTCAAATTTTGACAAAATCCCAACCCTAACCCGGAAAAGTTGCACCCCTAGTTTTTATTATGAAATTATCCTTTTTTAGACTCCCATGTACTCTACTTGATTTTCCTCTTTTCCAAGTAGAGGTGTAAATTGGGTCGTGTTGGGTCATGCTTTCCTCCCCTAGGATACTTTGGGGGTCAGCCCGGCACAGTCCATGGCCCAAGCTTGCACAGGCCCATGTCGTGCCACGGGCCAGGCTGGTCCGCAGGCCAAGTCTTGGGCTAGGTCGAGCAACGAATCGGGCCAAGCCAAGTTGTTTAAAAATTTTGAAAAAAAGTAATGAAAATTTTGACATAAATTAAAAAATAGAAAAAAATTAAAAAAAAAATCTTAAAACTTTATTTTATATGAATTTTGATGTATACAATTATTTATATATGCAATGATAAAATAATATAATATAATAAAATTGGAAACAAAATTTTATATATATTAATATATTATATAATTATTATATATAATATGATATGCATATTATATTATATAATATAATATATATAAATACATATTGGCCATGTTGGGTTGGGCCATGCTGACCCATGGACCTAAAACTTCAATCCCCATGGCCTGCATTTTGTTGTGTCGGGCTGTAGGCGGCACGACCCATTTTACAGCTCCCGCATTCAATTTTTTCCCTTGCGAGGAAGATTTTGAGGTGTTTAAAACTACAAGGATGAATTTGAAGAGGAAGAAGACAATATCCACACTACAGGGTAAATTGTGTTTCTCATTTATTCCTCTTCACACCCTCTCTGTATCCTTATCTCCTTTCTGAATTGTCTTTTTCTTAGACTCTCGCATACACTACTTGCTTTTTCTCTGTTCCAAGTCTTTCTTCTTTCATTCTTTGGTTGGTTGTCTTTCCACGAGCTTCATTACTGCCAGTTACAGTGATAGGTTTCTTCTCCTTGCCTTTAACAAAGTTGAAGCCGATGAACAACATGTAAGCCCCACTTTCCTCTTCTTCTTCTTTGTCGTCATCAATATCTTCTTATGCTCTATCTAGTGGTTCAATCTACTATAGTTCCATGCTCTGCTTTGATTTTTAAACAATTAATAAAATCTCTTATTCAAATCTTAATCTTAATGGCTTCTTCTTCATAGCTTGTTCATGCTTTGTTTAGTCTCTATTAAAACTAATTGTAATACGAATTCTAAATGGGCCTTATGGTTTGTAAGAATAAAATGGTTCTAGGGCTTATCCATCCTTAATTCTCTGATAATTCCATTGGTAAATTAAAATCCATCCCTCGCTGAAAGGATAGGCAACTGAAACTTTAAGAATGCTTGCTTTCTTATTCCATAAATTGGTTGAAACACCCATGATGACCCACTCAAGTAAAGCCATGCTCAAGTTGATAATGAAGATGGAGCTTTAATGCCTTGCCCAACACATCCAACTACCCCTTTCAAGTTTCATTAACAAATCAACTTGTCAAGAATTATAACCTTGAGACTCTAAGTGCCTCTTGTTCATTCTCTAGCATTTACTAAATTGTGTATCTATATCGTTCTTATATTTTTGCTTCATTTGTTACTTTGTGTATAGTTGGCATGTATATATGTAAGGGGGGTCTGGATGTAGTAGGCACGTTAGGTAAGCACAATGAGTGAGCACGTAATAGTTGTGTGACACATGTTGCAGTTAATGTGTCTTTCATCCAAATGTTTTTGTTCGGTTAGACAGAAATTAACCATTATTTTATTATCTTTATCAAGATAATTAAAAATAAAAACAATGAAAGGCACATTAATTGCGACATGTGTCACACAACTATTACGTGCTCACTCATTGTGTTTACCTAATGTGCCTACTACATCCGGACCCCCCTTACAAATATACATG